GTGTTTGTGTATGTGTACGTGTGTACGTATTGTACGTGTGAGTTTCTGTGTTTGTGTATGTGTGTGTATGTAATGTACTTGTGACTTTCTGTGTTTGTGCATGTGTGTGTGTGTGTGTGATTCTGTGTCTGTGTATGTTTCTGTGTTTGTGTATATGTGTGTGTGTAATGTACGTGCGAGTTTGTGTGTGTGTGTGTATGTGAGTGTATGTAATGTACTTGTGACTTTCTGTGTTTTTGCATGTGTGTGTGTTTGTGTATGTATGTGTAGGTGTGTTACTGTCTGTGTGCATGTTCCTGTATTTGTGTGTGCAAGTGTGAAAGTTTCTGTGTTTGTGTATGTATGGGTATGAATTTCTGTGTTTGTGTATGTGTGTGTTTGTGTATATATGTGTGTGTTTTTTTGTGTGTGTGTGTGTGTGTGTGTTTGTGTGTATGTGTGTGAGTTTCTGTGCGTTTGTGTGTATATGTTTGTATGTGCGTGAGTTTCTGTGTTTGTGTATGTGTGTGTGTTTGTATGTATGTGTGTGCATGTGCATGTGTGCATGTGTGTGTGTGTGTGTGTGTGTGTGTGTGTGTGTGTGTGTGTGTGTGTGTGTGTGTGTTTGTTTGTTTGTTTCTGTAAGTGCTGTTTTATAGTGATAGCCAGCTGAGATACCATGCCACAGTTTAACATTGAGCCCCCACTGGGAACCAGCATGCTAACATACTAGCCGACATAAATTTGTTGTTTCCCCTTGATCCCGAGTGCTAGACAAGGTGAAAACAAGTCCCATTTCTTTAGCGAATTACATCAAACCATCGACCTCACCGAACAGGTGCTCTATAAGGCAGACTGTTGTCAGTTAAGGAAGTTTTACATCCTAAACAATCGTATTGATGTGTTGTGTTAATGGTAGTATTCGAGGACAAACAGGAGAAATAGCATCATCAGCAATAGCAACATCATCATCATCAACAACAACAACAACAACAATAACAATAGAAACAACAAAAAACGACAAAAACAATAGTGCCAGTTGTTGTGATGGTTAACGTGAACCACTTAGGTTGTGTCCTGATAATAATTCAATTATTACGGTCATAATAGCAATGTTGATTGTGTAAATACGTCCAAGACGAATTTGACCTGCTATTGCGAATTCATCTGTAGTGTCTCTGCAACCAGCATTCGTCACGGCAAGTTTGGGGATCTGATTGTAAAGATCCATTTGATCAGCGAGGTACATACATCCTCGTTTAACAGTAACCGTTCTCCCACTCTGCCAGGATCGTCTACATGATACATTGACGATCCTTTCAGACGAAAATGTCTCAATCCAGACGATGACACAGGAATTACCGTTCGGGCTGTGGGCTTACGTTATCGTCAATTTCTTCGCCAAAATTGATTCATCGACCATGCCGATTTGCCACTGTTACACATGTCAACTTTGACTCTGTTTGTTATTGCGATACGTTTTACATCTAGTCATTACATAAGGATATGTTCACAATAACATCAATTTTCAAAATAAAAGTAACTCAATGATGTTAAGTTTTATAATTCAGATACAACAGTTGACTGACTACCTTCTTTAATGAAAAATGTCAATCATAATACCAAATACCTACATTTTTATGATGGTCAGTTGTCAATAGCCTTGCTCATGAAATAATTTGATTATAATAACAGTTATCTATTTGTCCAGTTATACATGTTTTCATTTCTCTTGCAAATGAAAGGACACAAAGCTGATTTTACATAGTGTGTGGTAATGCATGTTCTGTGTGCTTACTAATAGAATAACACTGTTGTAAAATCATATCCCTACCAATAACGGTGAAGTAATGCACCTTTTTAGTTTTCATACTATTAAAAAATGAGATGATAATACATATATGTCGGTATGTTTGTATATTTCCCCTGATTATGGTACAACAAGATAATAATATCACATACGTGGTGGTGTTCCCAACATTCATATCCGTGTCTAGGATACGCCAAAAAACCATGTTGAAATGCCTGGAATGACATTTCCACAGTACCAGGTTGGCCACGCGAGGCTAGCCCTACACCTGCATGGGGCCAAAACCCGGAAATATAGATATTTATAACATGGGACGGCAGCAGCAGTGCTGGTTTTAGACTTGCTAAATATCAAATGCATCCGTTCCTCAATATCGTAATGTAAGGTAAAGTGGGTCCGTTGTCTGTACTGCAATATCGATACATCAGGACATTCGGGACAAATGTACTTCGAGACAAATGTACTGTTTCACATTCGCCTGTATCGCATAAGATCTGCTTGTCTCGATATTTTAAATATTTCCAATATTTGTATATATAATAGATGACACATCTATACATGTACATCTCCTGTCTAAACTTATCGAGTGTGGATAACTGGGTTGGTCAAATATATGTAAACTTCTATTTTCAGCTATTCGATATATCGAGATTCGCGATTTCTATTACATGTCGTGGTGTGAGTAATGTACTTGAGCAAAGAATTTAGACTGGACCTTGGACTTACTTTCAAATGATAATTATTTCATTCAAGATAGTGTTTTATAAGCGAATGTATATTTACAGGAGGTATTAGTAAATTCGTTGTAATAGTGAAACATACATTGCATTTTAGTAACAAACATTATATGCATAAAAAATGTTAGCTGAATTGAAACACTTTGTTAGTCATCAGTAATATTAATATGTATATGAATCCCTTTTAAATACACAAAATCTGCACATTTAAGAAAATTCAACACTTATTTATACACATGATATGTAATACAAAAAGCCCTTGCCCGTCTGTGAATGAAAATAGAACGCAACACCCACACACAACACTGTACCGCAAGCCTCAGTATATACATAGTCTGACACATTAGAACATCCAAAACCAGCTTTACCTCGACAGACAAGAAAAGTAGATTAGCAGAAAATAATAGCATGAAAAATACTTAAAAACATAACATGACAAAGAATTATGTTTATGTATTACCTCATGCTTAAATACACAAAACAATTGTGGTTGTGTACCAACTTGTGTCAAAAATCACATGAATCCGAATATTCGTTTTCAAAATGTTTCAGTACGTAGAACCTAACTCATTGACACAAAAAACACAATAAAAATATTTTATGACAGGGAAACGTCATCAAAACTGACAAAACGTCATCAAAATAATATATTTGTAGTGACAATCATCAAACATTTATCTGCTGATTGTGTCGCGATAGCACAATAAATGTGTTAGCTCGAGCTGTCGACGCTGTCACAGAGGTTAGGCAAAAGTGGCAAATAAATGTGCCCATACCTAGATAACAGCGAGGTAGACTTACCGCCAGACACTGTATTTTACACAACCAGAGACCAGACTGTATTAGAAGCCAGTAGATTATATGGAGAGAAAAGTAAGTTGCTATATTCTGGTCTGAAAATTATTTTATGATACATTTGGCCAATAGGCACACTAGTTCACTATCAATGGCGCTCGTCTGTGCAATAGAAATCTGGAAATAACGGAACACTTCTTCTTCTCTTCCCCTTGTGTCATTCATCAAAATGTAACTGCCTCGTGTACCTGCTTATCTATCTACGTAAGTACTCAACGAACGATATCATTTTGCTAGATTAATTTCCACATAAAGTTAATTATACATGCATATATTCATTTATACATATTCATATATTTATTCTTACTGAGTTTTGAGATAACGTTAGTGTCAACATTGTATAATTACATAATAAGGCAACTAACAATGTTGACATCTCTCAACGTTCCTCACATAAGTAAACGTATATATTTTACAAATATTCCATTTATCTTTTCCTACCAAACATTTACTGTATCACTATCATTTAACAAATTAACCATCCTTGTATATATACAATATAAGTGTACATTAGCATGCAATATAGTATTGTATCTATCTCGGTCTGTCAACATGCATAGAACAGCCAATGGTTTTATTTAAAAAGGTTGATAATCCCTCCACTTCCTACATACACAAATGTACTTATCCCTATTCATGTATAAAATAACACCCTTTTTACCATTGTTTTATATGTCCACACAAATCTTGGCTAATTTAGCGTCTTTCTACTTAAGAAGTAAATACAACAACGTATTTTGCGTTAAACAATGCTAAGTCAATAATCGGTCATGTTCATTTTAAATACATATACATCTCACTATTATTTACATAAAATAACATTGCATTTACCACATTACTATCTACAAACATAACTCTTAGATATTGAGCTCCGTTACTCATCTGAATGAATCACACATACAGATGTATAGTCATATATATCACTGCTGTGTATTCCAAACAACATCTGTTTAACATTGTACACCTTTCCACCAAACTCTAAGGTACAACGGCGTTACTCGGTACTTCACCCACGTTGATCATGTACATACATATGACACTATTGTGATTATAAAATAACAGTATTTACCATTTCTCACATTCCTATTTAACGATGTCAACGTGCATCTCATTCATTCATTCGTGATGTTTTGTTCTGTTTGATTGGCATTTTAGAATGATGTTTAGATCCGTAATTCATGCGTGTTAATTATTGGTACAGTATTTTACTTATCACCATATAAAATTGTCAAATTATTAACATATACAATCTTTATGTAATATAAAGAATCTTTATGTCATGTTTTGTTCAATCCATCCGATGCTATAAGTGACTATCAACAAAACAATGCAGCATCAGTTACACTTCTTCCGGCAAAGCGCGAGGATAACTGGTGAGGATTTCGAGGCGAGGGGCGCACAGCGACAGTCGGGCTTATACACCGTCTACGGTAAAGCACTACAACTTTTGTTTTGATTTTGCAGTGATCACTTTATGAATCACAGCCACTGTCACACTGTGAGGCTGACTGGACCCCAACGAGAGCACGTGACTTTCCCCCAGCCAATGAAAAGAGGCTGGATTCTACCTGTGTGTCTGTGACCAATGAGAGATGATAGTGAGTGATAAAAGTGTGAAGAATAATAGGCTGATTTCAACAAGTTCTCGGGACAGGCCTTCAAGTCTCTCAATAGCTTGCATGGGCCCGCAGCGGACCGACTCAAATGACTCTAAACTATTGCCCCACGGAGAGATTCATACCTGCTGTGTTTTTGCAAGTCAGATATGTGTGTATGCTAAACCATGGGCCCTCGGCAGCGTGAAGATATTACTCGATGGACAAAGGCTCTTCTTCTACTGTACCTGACTTTGGAGATCCGCGTCGTAGCGAGCTGGATGTAAGTTCTCGCTGCTTCAAGCCAGTAGGAGAACTTTCTATAATTTTCGGTCGACAATCGGCTGATACCAGTGCAAATAAAATGCCGTTCAGTTCCCATAAGATAAAAGAGTGACGTTGAATAAACGCTGAAATAAATACAGCGAAAAGATGTCAAAGTGTTTGGGCAATGATCCCTATTCTTCTTGGATGTTTACTATGAGATTGGTTGGAATTTGTTCTGTAATGCTTGTCAGAAGGCTGTAGTTCAAACATGGTAGGAGTGTTTATAGCTTACGGGAATAATACTTTCCACACGTTTTGTTGCTGTTCGGGTGCGTATTTAAATTTTCCTTTTGTCTTCATATATTCTGCTTATACAAAGGTAATGTGTTATATTTTTCGTGTAATCGATCCTTTGTTTTATTTAAAATGTCATCGCTTTGCCTGTAATAGGACATTCATCAATCATTTAATCAAATACATGTTCGGTTAAAATACGATATTAAACATTGACACTTCTGTGATCGATTTGTTAAAAACAATTGTGTTGGAGATGCATGAATAACCATGATAATGTTATGTTATGTACTAAATAAGTTTTGATATTTAACTGTAGACAGAGCTGTAAACAAAATGTCTCAATTATTTTGTCTGGGGTAAATTTGTATAGTCAGTTTGAAATTTTACTTAATTTCACACGAATTCCAAATTCATTTTGGCATCTGCTAACTGCTGAAATATAACACAGATAGATATGTTTGTATATTTAAGATTGATACAGAAATAAATATTGTTTTGCAATGATATGTCTGGTAAGCTCACATAGATAATATGGGTCCTATATGTTAAATCGTTCCTCACAAAATACACATTGCATTGACATCGTATTGACTGAAAATTATCATAGCTTTTTCAATTGTACCATTCGGTGTGTGTATGTAATGCAAAAATATGAAAAATAATCAAAGTTTATGTTTACATTTTTCAAAGTATAAAAGGCATGCGTGACACAGAGATTCACCTTTAACTAACATGATGTTTTGTGTTGTCAGAATGCGTGTGTTACTATATGAGATTTAACCGGTCTCTTCTACGTTTGTGTTAAATCGTAATACCACCGTCTCACCTTACATAAGATAATGATCATGAGCAATAAAATACCGAGCCTAGCCCGTATTCGATTTCATTTACATGTCACAACTGATGGACGAATGTCATAGAAACCTCACATGAATGTGTGTTTATGTAATCCATAGATACTTTATTTAGCAGCGAAAATCAGTTCATGTACTGTCAGCTAAACTTTGTATCAGTTTAATTTATTTATTTATTTATTTATTTATTTATTTATTTATTTATTTATTTATTTATTTATTTATTTATTTATTTATTTATTTATTTATTTATTTATTTATATGAGTAAAAACAAACAATCTGTTGGTTCAATATTTTCAATATGTATATCAATAACATCCCTACCTAATTTCCCTTTTTAGATAATTGCGTCCAAAAAACATACTTACATGTTTTGAATACCGAGTCAGGACCACATCAAGATTTTGTGTGATATGTTCTGTCCATATGCAATTAGGGCAAAGTTTATACATATGTTTAAGAGATGAAATGTTAAAATTGATAGATATTGATATGATAAATATTAATAATACTCATTTCTACCCAAGCACATGTAATAATGTATGTATATTGAGGGTTTAAGGAAAGAAATACATCTACACGTCGAAGAACACAGTTCTATATTGTTTTAATCAGCTTATTTCTTGAGGTTCTTGAGAGGCATATAGAAGTTGGTATTCAAGTGTAAGACAAAATATTATGGACGTCAACATAACGTTTCTGGGCGTTTCCTTGCCTCTTCGTCTTGTGAATACTAGCTTATTTCTTTATAAAACTTGGTGGCCCTCTTGTAACATACTGGGACCCAATTAGATTTTTATATCCAAAAATATCCACTCATTAAATAAAAACATCCAGTGTACAGTGTTTTTTTGAAATACCAATGTTCTATATAAAGATATTTATAAAAATTAACAGGAAATTCACCTATACAATTTGAAATGCATTCATTCGCCTGAACTACATTTTGTGTGTTATGGTCTGAATCCAACTAATGTACTGTTTGTATGTATTTTTAGTCCGGATTATTGACAAAACTTCATGTTAACAGCGTGTACGCTCACTGCATCGCGATTAATAAGGAATTATGTTTAATATGTCCTTTCAATACAGTGTTCTTTCTTCCTCAGAGTTACTTAGATATGCCAGTATGACATGTTATGAATTACATGAATCACATGAAAGAATGACAGCAAGGTTTAGAAATGATAGGACAATCTCTGTTTAGTTTTCGGAACCTATTTGTTTGATTCCCTGGCTTATACGGTCGATCTTAAGGGTTGTTTAATCTTAGTTAAGCAGAAAGCATGACGTGACTTTGGGGTAGCTGACAGTCGCTGTTTCCTGTGTATTCCTGTATACACTGCATTGACTGACAAGGCATGTGTGAAGATAGAATGAAATGTTACTAAAGACATAGAATACCTCCTCATATTCCCTGAAAGTGAATAGATATGCATAATCATGTTTGGATAAAATTTAATTTGTCGTTCTTCAAATTAATCATTTTAAAATTTGATGTATTTCGGCTAATATTGTACTTCAATTAACGTTTCAGACACCTTTTTCTCAGGAGTATATATATTGACACATTTCCCAAATCGAAACTTCAAACTTAATTCAATTATAATCTTGCAACATCTATGTGCCTTTCTGATTTTATGTATACCCAGACAGCCTTCTTCAAAAGCTGTTGGGGCAAGTGTAACATTTCAAACATATTAACAGCCTAAACTTTCTTTTAATTAAAGGAGAAAATATACTTTTTATTTTATCTAATAATATGTTGTTGTTTCTATATATAACCAAACATACAAATCTATGGTATTTAACATCTCGTATCAAACGTGTTGAAATTAGCGACTCTATGCTAACATATTCTTCATAAAGGGCTATCTACATATTGATGTTCACCCTCTTACATATCTCGACGATTTTCATCAAGATGGCGAACATTACCCCGAGAAAGTTGTCATGTATATCATGAAATTGATGATCCGCCTCTTATATATACACTTCTAGCGATGTTATATAAAATGTATGTTTGATGGCAGATCTTATTTCATCATGTCAGGTTTCATTTGTCTGGACGCGTCAGGTTTTTCTGTTTTTGCGATGAAGCTGTATATCATATTGCTTTCATTTTCTTCCCTGTGTTCGTTGGGTATAATCACCCTTGCTACTACGAACATTAAATCATTTAGCATTGTCACATTATACTCATAAGGATATACACACATGTAAATACTGGTAATATTCTCTTTACCTTTTTCATGTAACAGTGTAACCCCTGTTACATGCAAACATAACTTAACACGTATGGTAATATATAGAATTCGTCTTAAAAAGACTGCTATTTTTCCTGTATGTTTAGGTACCTCGGTGTTGCGTCCCTGGCAGGGGCACTTCACGACGACTCCTGCAACGACCTTCCAGGGCTAGTGGTCCAACAGCAAGAAGTGTGCCGCAAGAACCCCCAATCTCTCTTGTGCATCAGTGACGGGGCTCGACGGGGGATTCTGGAGTGCCAGAAACAGTTCAAATACGAGCGCTGGAATTGCACTGCCCGGATCAGGAACAACACAGTATTTCAAACAGTCCTCAAGAAAGGTAAGGCCATCTGTGATCACTAGACAAACTGTGTACCGCAGCCATGTGTAATAATACACATACATTCTAAAATTACCCATGGAACCATGTTAATATGGGCAGTACCAGTGACGGCGCCAGGATCAACATAGTCTTATTAAGGAATCATAGGTAGACAGCAGTGTCCATGCTCACAGCGATTCCAAGCAATCGTGTCCAAGTTGACAGTGTTGCTGTATCAATTCCACAATTTTGTCCTCTGAAGTAAGTAGTGACCTACAGCAAGGTATTTCTACCAAGACTACCCTTACATCTGTAACTTGCAATACAAGACATGGTAGGTTGGTAGCCCAGCAGTTAAAGAGCTTGATTTAAAAAAAAACTCCTTCAGGTATGGTTCTCAAACAGGGTATGTGTTAGTCATGTCCCTGCCCTCCTCGAGCTGCTATTTTTTGTTGAAAACAGAGTAAAACAACATTTACTCTTAAATAGATGGCATAATATAAAATGTGCACATCTTCCACTTATATCACTGGAGTAAAACGGCCCAGTGACACATAAACATTCTACATCGAATAAACTATCAAGTTGTAATGCACATGCATGACACATAACCACACACACACGCTCATACACACTATATATATATATATTTATTTTGTGTGTGTGTGAGTGTGTGTGTGTGAGCGTGTGTGTAGCTATGACGGCTAGATTTGACAAAATCGAGTTCCCCTGATATTCCTCCGTGATTTTAACCTGGGTTCTGGTGCACAAGAGGCGCTGAATATCACACAGTTCTGGAATTGTAGCAACTAACACGATTAGCGGAAAGGTTACAAGCACAGATACACATGTGAGTCCACGAAAAAGCTGCCGACGCAAAGTTCATCCCGATATTTTTAGAATGTTTGTTCGTATTATTGTTTGTTTACTCAAAGTGACGAGTCTTTGAACTAGTTCGTTTGCTTGGTTAAAGGCCATTTAAAATTGAAGGGAGTCGATCTGGACTTGGGTGCCTCTTCATGTGATCAAGGCCCTCTGTAGGAGTGGTAGTGAACGCCCATCTCATTTGCTGTCTGAACCAGCCTCAGATTGTTTATGTTGATCGTAGTCCTTGTTTAGCTGTCCCGTCAGACGTCATAAACTGTAATTGCTTCAAATCATACACGATAACATCAAATTAAATGGAATTCCCAAACTTCTATCGTTGATAAAAAGCACGGATATTTCTTCGTCTTCTTCCCCCTGCTGCGATCAGACCAACCGTTCCCTCAAGGAGGTCTCCGTTATGAATAAAGACTCCACAACACCAAGGAAACAGCAACTTTTGCCATCAATTTTCTTTCTTTTTGTCTCTTGATGATTTCTGCAGGCTCCCATCTCCCGTCCCTGCTAAAGGAAGGAGAGGCGAGACTAGTTTATGGTGTGTGATAAACTCAGTTGGTACCAAGCCATCGCCGCCGTGATGTGCATGTCGAGAGGGGTGGAGGGGCCTGGGGGACGAGATGTTACCGTCAGCATTTATGTTTATTTGCTTGGAGGAAACGAATGAAATGAATCGGAAAAGAACCATTCCTGCACATCGACGTGCAGCATCCGAGTGATGGATTAGAGATGGTTTTCCCTTCCATTGACTATCCCAACATTGCTGATTGTCTGACCTGTACGCAAAGGTGATAGAGTGTATACATGGGGAGGCTATATACTTGTAGCCGTGTTGGTCGACCATGATTATACGGCATGCTGGCCAGTTAAGGCGCGACGGTTATGTCTGTATTGGTATCAGTATATAATTGTCTGCCCGAGGAGGTGGAATAGCTGGTACTCGTAGAAGTTGTTGCTGAATTGGAGTGGGATAGATGTACGGATGGGTTGGGAGTTTCCAGAGAAGGCTAGATGTATAGGCCTGATTTGTACAGCTGGACGTAGTGTTGTCTTGAACACGTTGCATTGTGACGAAGTGTTATGCAGAAAGAGGAGGAAGGGGGGAGAGTTACCCCTCATAATATTGACCATTAACATCCTGCTTTCGGGCGGTAAGGTCGTGAGGAATCCCAGGTAACCGAAACCACCTTCTTGTCAGTTAAATGAATAGACTTTGCCTTGTTTTGGAGAGAAGATATTTCGACTGTCCGAGGTTGATAGTTCGTCGGAGATGCCTACTACATTGGTTATGTGATATGTGGTGGCAGTTGAAAATATTCCTATTGAAAGTATCACCTTCGAGACTCTCACTTTCGCTCTTGAAACTATCTTTACTGTGCCAAATGAAAGGATCATCATGCCCTATAGTTGACACCAAGTCTCATGGCCTTTGGAGACAGCCATTTCAGTTGGAGATGATGTACCATGTCAACACCACAGAACATAATTAGGTCTTGTTGTCATATATCGAGGGTGCCTATTCACTTTGATATGAGCAAACAATGACCTCTGGTTATGAACTTGGTCTAAAAAAAGCCAGAGAGTATGCACAATACATTCTTCGCACATAGGATCAGACCGTTTTGGCCACCCCATGTACTGTTAGTGTTAAGATACTTTGTCGCGTGCTTTTACTTTTTCTACCGAACTAACCTGAACATTGAAAGACAAAATTGGGGTTCGGTTGACAGGTACACAGTCGAATGTAGTCGATACAATTGTTTGAACTAATTTGAAATAACGGGACACAGAACAGTAAAATTAATAGTAAAGACAACAAAATTAATTTTCAATGTCTATTCAGCAATATATCTACATGGGAACACAAGATATTCTGACGGTTTCACGTCTCGGCTGCTTGGGGCTTTGTAAACATAGGTAAGGATAGGGATAATCAATGAACCTTTACATAATATGGTGTGTAGTATTAAACAATAGAATTCAGATGTTTGCCTTCTGTTCATATGAAGAAAGAGTCGATAAGACTTCAACTTCTTCTTGGTCTGATGCGACATTTAGGTACAGCTGCTCGCACCTTCATCAAGCAGGATGCTGCTTAAGATTTAAGAATTTACATTTATAGAAACATCAAAGCCAAAAAAATACTTTCAACGTTCATATGTTACATGGAGACGTGCTGGGGTTCACAGAACGTAAACCGCCAAACATTCTATAACGTATAAGTGGTAAATATTATAGCCAAGCCGCAGGATGAGGCGAGGCGGTAGATCATTGTACTGATAAACACATTTCAACATTGTGTGAGAGTATCAAGACAGTCGATGGAATACAGACTTTGCGTGGAAGGCGAGGATGTATTTTCTGTCTACCGCAACAACCGGAAGCTGCTGTGTGTCTACTGCTTAATGGATTATGTCATAAAAATGAAATATGGCCCAGTGCCCCACTAAGTTGTTATATCTGCAGCTGTCATAAGAAACAACACCATATGGTACAACTGCAGAGCTGGACTAGAAGAGCTGTTTCGGTACTTCTAGTCGTCTGTTTACTGATAATGAGCCATGCGGGGCATCTGCCCTTTTTAATATGGAACTGGATTTAGTTCCAGTGTATAAGGATTTGTATTACATCTTGTGTTGTGGCTGTACAGATGATGTGGATGCTTAGTATGTATGCTTGTAAGGTATTCCTCATAGTTCATGTTTAGTATAGTACGATATGATGGGATGCATTGATTTTGATGAAAATGTAAGTATAACACTGAAACCCCGTTTATCCGAATGGTAGCGTTCCCACTGATTAACACGCACGGATTAACGAATCAGGAACACAGAATAATATTACTGTGTATACATATGTTTCAAAAGTAACTGCCTGTACTACTGAAGTTCCGCAATGTTGTCATAAAATGTTTAAAATCAATTAATTCAAATCCAACAATCAGTCTCATTAGTGTGTCTTCGTTCTTTCATATATGGATTATTGATTGTAAATCGTGATCTCAGGTGATTATTGAGTAACATGCAACAGTGGTTTTAGAAATATGGACATGTTTATGGTCAACAAAGTATCAGGAATAGAAACAATTAGACGTCTTCAAAAGAGAAGGTTATTAAACTACAGTGTTTCAGAAAATTACGATCTGGTGATAGCCACAATCAATATGGAGTCTCCATTAGCCATTGGTCCACTTGATAAAAATCATTTAAGAAATCGTGCCGTAATTTTACTCTCTTTCTTTGTTTGACGGTTAAAATAAGTTAAGAGCTTCATTAGATTGAAGTTCATTGGACTATTCTCAACCCAGGAACCATTGCTAACCAATGCAGAAATACACTTTTCCTTATGAACCTTCCAGTGTAGGCATCTATGCCTGGCACCGCTGGGTCATTCTGCTACATGAATCATATAAATATCTTCAGATGCTAGGAATGAATGTTTGGTTTGTGTCGATGTGCCCGCCAGACCGCTCAGTCGGCATGTCTCTTGAAAGGTTATCAAAGACCGACAGAGAAAAACGTTCACAATGCACAAATTTCTAACAACATGCGTAACATTTCTACACCCTTTTTTGATACTTTATGTTGGTCCCTTTTGTTGCATCTTTTTATTTATAGCGGAAAAAACAAAACACTTTCAGTCATAAATAGCCGCAATCGTAGATTTTATCATCTTTATCAGCAGAAATACCGCTTGGGACACGTCTGTTCTTGAGTTTATGAATGGCCTCAAACAAAAACATCCTTCAGGCATCTGAAGAGGCAGTTACCCCTATTCCGCCAGGGCAGTGGGATCCTTGGCTATCATGGCCCATCGAGCAGATCGCATCGGAGATGTTGTTGATGTACATGTGATCTGAAGGGGATTAAATGAGTTTTGACGACGGAGTCTGAAGCCACACAGCTCGTCTTATACCACTCACTCACTATGTCCCACTGCCCACGGACTCCTCAAATTGATTTCTAACGCTGATGAATGGATGGCAAGCTTTTCTTTGAAGTTGCCTGTTTCGAGACGTGGTGAAATTCTTGAGAGTAAAATAAGAGCAGCTAATGTCAGTCGTCTAGTTTTTGTCGACACCATCGCTAGGCGCCTGACCCATGTTAAAGAAATCCACGTCTCTCTGAGTCTTTTGT